ATGTTAGTAGATGGGTTATTACAAGGCTCTGAATTATCCTTGTAGCCACAATATTTATGTGACCACTTCAGTTAAGTTTCTGATCAATTTTAATTCCCCAGGATGTTAAAAGTGGAGGATTCAGTGATAATGAAGCTTTTGAACTTCGGGGAAGATGTTTAGATTCTCTCTTGTTGGACATGATCATTGCCTGACATTTGTGTGACTTGGCAGTTAGTAGCCAAAGCCACAGATTTTAAACAAGCGGTCTATTGTACTTTGTGTGATATAAATTATTGTGTCCTAACTTTTCATTGCAGAAAACAAGCAAGAGGTTGAGCAGCAGAACAACAGCCTCACGGGAGAGAGTATCTGAGAGCAGGTGGGTGTGAGTTACACCTTAGCCAGTGCAAATGTCTCTGTGTAGCACTTAACTCAGTGCTCCATGGCGGGGGAGAAGCAGCAAGCAGTTGTTAACTAATTTTCTACAGTAATGAGAGGCTCGTCTGAGAAGCAAGAACTGTCAGGTTGTTGCAGTAACAATATTTCAATGGGCTGCACTTTCACAGACTGGCACAGAAACACTTGGAGACCTTTATGTAGAGTGGCATAAATACACCCAAATTGTAAAAAATAATTACACATCTCAGTGTGGTGAACAGAAATATCTAAAAGTCACAACAAATACTCAAATATATGAGGTTTGTCAGCTGTTTGATGGACAAACAATGGTTTCATGTGTTAATGTTTAAACAGAGGCTACTATTTAGACTGTCTTTTAGCACCACATTAATGCCACATTGAAGTGGCATAGATGACAGCTGCAACATAGCACTCTTCCCCCAGTTTTGCCAAGCTCTGCTGGGACCCTGTTTGATTCCTACTGGCATCCTACTGGTTTCCTTCTGGGATCCCAGCCTCTGTCTTCAAATGCTGACAGACCAGTTTTATGTGCAATGAGAAAAAATAAATGACAAATGCAGAAAACTAGGGTTCACCTTCAGAGAGAGAATGGCTGACACTACAAATTGTCCTCCCACCTCTGAGTCAAACCCAGCTCACTGAGATGGAACTGAAGTCACCTAATTTGCTGCTGGCTGCTGGCTGCAGGTGTCCAAAAGTAATTGCTTTCACACTGTATGGCTGGTTTTACAAAATCATGCTCCCAGTGGGGAACATTGCACACCCTGAGCACGTAGTCAGAAATTGCCAGCAGGCAAGGCTCATTGCCAGGATTATGCACTCATAAAATGACCCTTACATTAGTGCAACTGACAGAACTGGTCTCCTTTATTAGATGGTATCCTGGAGCCGTAAACCTGCAGGTCTGTGACTCAACCGTCAGAATAAGGGCAACATTTTTGCAAAAATCTAAAAGCCTGCTCCAGTCCTGCACATTTGCCATATATCTACTCCTTGCCCTGCCTTCAGCTGCCCAGGCCCTAAGATCTGGAAATCCATCTCTAAACTTCCCACTTCTCTACCTCTTCTTCCTTTAAGACAGTCCATAAAACTGACCTCATGGTCACCCCTGTCCTAATAACTTGGTGTCAAATTATGCTGATTATGCTCCTTGGGACATGTAATGGAGTTAAAGGTGCAAAGTATTTGTTGTTGTGAGACTCCATGTGAAATCCAGCCTACCAATGGAGAATATAAAGGTGAGAAAGTGATACACCATGCTGCTCACAAATATGAAGAACTGAGAGTGAGTCATATCCAGTGGTTTGGAGATACAAAAACACAAACCTTTTAATGATTGCCTGCAAAAACAGAGCATGTTGATAAAAACACAATGACATGTTAATAAAAACACAACAACTCTGATAATGCTTAAAGTGTAAATTGAATATGTAAACTTAACTATCTTCTCCACAATTTCTGACTGTGAGTTTCCCGCATTTTCAGTTTTTGTTTCATGTTTTCAGCATATGTAGAAAATTGCTTTTAATCAGAAATAGAATCATAGAATCCCTACAGCGTGGAAGCAGGCCATTTGGTCTATCGAGTCCACACCAACTGTCTGAAGAGCATCCCACCCAGACCCACGCCACCCCCCCCACCCCATTCCCTGTAACCCTGCAACTCCCATGGTTAATCCACCTAGCCTATACATCTCTGGACACTATGGGAAATTTAGCATGGCCAATCCACTAAACCTGGACATCTTTGGACTATGGGAGGAAGTTAGAGCACCCAGAGGAAACTCACGCAGACATGGTGTGAATGTGGAAACTCCAAACAGACAGTCGCCCACGGGTGTAACATTCACACCACGCAAGTGTCAAGCAATTACTATCTCCGACAAGAGAGAATCTAACCATCATCCCATGACATTCAATGGCATTACCACTACTGAATCCCCCACTATCAACTGAAATTGAGCTGAACTAGCCAAATAAATGCTGTGGCTCTCTCAGAGGCTGCAGTAAGTTAACCACCTCCAGACTCCCCAACGTCTGTTGCCTACCTACAAGGCACAAGTCAAGAATGTAATGAAATACTCCCCATTTGATACTGCTTGAGTCCAATTCCAAAAACACTCAAGAGCTTGACATCATCCAGGACAAAACAGACCACTTGATTGGCACCACAGGCAGACACATTCACTCTCTCCACTACTGACATGCAGTTGCAGTAGCATGTCCTATCTGCAAGATACACCGCGGAAATTCACCAAGGCTCTTCAGAGAGTACCTTACAAACCAATGATCACTCTCATCTAGAAAGTCGAGAGCAGTAGATATTTGAGAAACATCACCACCTGCAAGTTCCCCTCCAAGTCACTCACCATCCTGAATTGGAAATATATTGCCATTCCTTTAGTGTCACTTGGTCAAAATTCTGGAACTCCCTCCCTAACAGCATTATGGGTCTACCTAAACCAAATGGACAGCAGCAGTTCAAGAAGGCAACTCACCACCACCTACTCAAGGGCAACTAAGGATGGGCAATAAATGCTGGCACAGTCAACGATGTCCACATTTTATGCATTAACTTTTGAAAAAATAGAACCTTTCAGTGGCAATAACAGGATACAGAATGTTTTTGCAGTAATATGCACATACATGAACGCACCAACACGCATGTAGCTACACACAGTAGCTGATGTCACAATTCCACATACACTTGGTACTCTTTAAAATTATATCCATTTAGCTATTTTTCATGACTGGGCCAGCTTCAAATCAACCAACCGAATCAGGGCTCGTCACAGTAAACGTCTTCCAAAAATAAAGGAAGGAAATGTGCAAATAAATGCACAGTAAATAAAATACAACAGCAGTGCATGTTAAATAACTTAAACGGTTCACAGGTTTTAATCTGCAGTCTGGAAACTAGCTAGGGATATGCTTGCTGCTCTGATTTCCCTGCCCACACAGTCGAGTCGTAAAAGTATTCTGCAGTGTATCTGTCGCAGTCAATTCAAGCTGGAAAATGTGTTGTGGCAACAATGCACTTAACACTTCAAGTAGTAGTGTTGTCTAGCAGACTGGTCACAGCAGGTAAACTCTGTGACATCACCTTGTCTAGCAGCAGAGAGAATGAGCACAGCTCTGGGACAGGAATGTATTAAATGATATAAATGGGACCCTAGAACCCAAAGGGAGCATAAAGCAAACAGTGAATCCTGGGCAGTTTTATTACAGGTACATAAACAGAGCTGATGAATTTCACTGCTTATAGCAACTAAGTAAATAATCTGTACTCTATAAAATCCAGCAGTGCTGGTTGTATATTTTCTCCTCATGGGGATTTAAGGTCCTGTGTTTTCTGTTTTATTTCTGGTGTAAAATTGTAATGCCGTAACAGTAAAAACATCACAGTCACTAATTAGTGTGACAAATTGAAACTATTGGTCATCACTTTGCAAGGTCACACAGTACATTTTTTTTCTCCTACCTCATTTCTGGCCAGGGATAAAAAATACTCACATTCACTCACCTGTGCTGCCCTATTCCCAAGCACCTGATAACAATCTGCGCTGAGATACAGAGGAGTTGTTCGTCAGCAGATCACATCCATCTAAATGATGAGTGAATGATGTGACATCATATAAGACCCATCACTTGGCTCACCCCAAGGACAGTTGCTGTTTGAAATTTTAGTATTGAGTGAAAGTCAGACACTTCTGCAGAGGTAGATGGGGCATTACAGAGATAATCAATACCATCCACCTGATAAAACAGGTGTCATATGCGCACACTCAACTCCAATCTACAGCAACATCGACTCACCCTCTCTCAAAGCTGTGCCGAACCCCAGTTTCACTTCAGCCTTCATCTCATCCGTTGCCACAACAAAAGACTTTTTCTCTTTCTTTCAGGCAGCAAGAAGTAACTTATGGACTCCAACACCTGTCCTATGCAGCCCTCCCCTTTCCGCCCTCGGACCCTATCCCCTCCCATCACTCAGAACCAATCCCTTACCATCCCTTAGCACCCACCCCTTCCCAGCCCTCAGGTGCCATCCCTTTCTGTCCCTCAACCCCAGCTCTTGTCATGTTTTCACAATACCTCCTGACCTTGCCCTCTCTGAGGCTGAATGTACTGTCCTCAGCAAAGGACTCAGCTTCATACCCTTGCACCCCCCACTTTAATGAATTTCAGATTTGTCATGATGTTGAACTGTTTTTCCGCTGCTTCCATCTATGCACTCAGTTCTTCAGGCAGGATATTCCCCCTCCCCATTCCACTGATCCCTTCACCCGCCTCCAGTACTCACTCTACCCTTGGAACCTTTCCTCTGGCCTCTTACGTGTCCTCAATCTCTTCATTGAAAACTGCCAGGATGACATTGGCCATCTCAATTTCTCTGCTTCTCTCACCCACTCTAACCTGTCCCTTTCTGAAATTGTTGCACTTAGCTCTCTCAGGTCCAACCCTAACTTTGTTATCAAACCTGCCAGCAAACGTGGTACCATTGTAGCCTGGCACACTGATCTTTATCTTGCGGAGACTCAACATCAACTCTCGGACACTTTCTCCTACCTCCCCCGGACCATGACCTCACATCCAAACATCAAGCCATTGTTGCCAGGAGTGTAACCTACCTCATTATTTCCGGAGATCTACCCCTGCTGCCTCCAACCTTACAGTCTCCCAACCCCGGACAGCCCTCTTCTACCTCCTTCCCAAAATCCACAAACTGAACTGCCCTAGAAGGCCCATTGTATCAGTTCCTGCCCCACTGAGCTCATTTCCTCCTACCTTGAGCCCGTCCTCTCTCCGCTTGTCCAGATCCTGCCCACCTACATCTGCCATTCCCCTCTGATGCCCCCCACCATATTGACAATGTGCAGTTCCCTGGCCCTAACTGCCTCCTGTTCACCATGGATGTCTAATCCCTGTATACCTCCATTACCTACTAGGTTCTCAGCTT